AATCTTTGAATATATCATTTTTTGTAGATTTATTATTTTTCTTTCACGAACGAAGTATTGAAATGGACAATGTTCTTCAAAGATTTATCTGCTTTAATATGAGAGAAACGTGGTTAAACACTGTTGAAACTTTTATAAGCATATAAAAATATTCCATCGTCAATGTAAATAATGAAACAAGTCAATTTATTTTCACATGGCAACATTTTCGTCATAATAATACTCACATGATTACACTCTCGTCTCTGTTATAGTTGGAAAAAGAAAATGACTCGAATTTTAAGAACTTTCTTTTCTCATTTTTGACTAAGCAATATTTTTTCTGCATAGCATTTATTTATTGCGCTTTTCGAATCTTACGAAACTTTTTTAAACAAGCATTTCACAATTTTGAATGCCATTTTCCTTTTAGTGTACTGTGAAAAAGTGCGTTTGGTCGACCGTTTACTTCATAACTTTCGAAAAAAGACATAAATCGTTGTGAAACTTTCTGTATAGTTTAGTCTCATCAATATCTCGATCGAGTTTGAAAATGAGAATGATCCATCAAGAAACGACCAAGTTTTGGAAAAGATTGTTGTTATTGTTCCGACCATTACTGATGAGAAGTACAAAGATTTTTCTTCTCAAAATTATTTGAAACATATATGGATCGACTTAGTTTTTAACGCTGGTTTCGACTTTGATATCAGCTTTGAAACAAACCGTAGTTCTCTATCGAAACGTTACCCAGATATGTCTCAGATGATCAATAATTTTGGAGTTTTCCAAATGCCCGACTCTGTCGTTAGTGAAAAGGATTATTAAATGGTAAAACGTCAATTTTCATAGTTATTAATATCGTTGAGCTAATATACCTATACTAACGTTTTCAACTATCGTATACTTCTTATAGATTCAAAAAATTGCCTACGACTATAATCCTGATAGATACAATCATGTTCATCGAAAAGATTTTTCTGAAGAACTTTGATGCGCATAAGTACTCTGGCATGACTCATATATTTCAATAGACAAAACAAGAAAAGCAAAAGAAATAAATTCATACGTTAACGTGTTCAATGAGTTGAATAAGCATATGTTCTCAAGAGAAATCAGTCAATTATTAGTGTAATTCTTCGATATATACGTAAAATAATTTTGATAACAATAATAGTAATTATTCGACAAATAATAACTGTCTGATTTTTTCTGCTAAAAACGTATGAGTATATATGTATTGAATTAAAAAGATGTTTACCATTGAAAACTTAACAAATATTATTTGATGAAAATTAAAATACAGTTGTTTACAACGTACCTTTAAGAAGAAATACACAACGAGACAATATTACTGTTCCTATTCAACAGAAAGAACAAAAATAAACTTTTTATATATTTTTGATGTTGTTACCTCTTTGTTGTGGTGTGTTAAATGAATATCTCGAGAGTAATAAAAATAAATGCGGAAACTTCGGATTGAAATCCGAACGTTATGTGTACTCTAAAAAGTGAATTTAACGACATCTTGATTTCGATCAATCTATCCGAAATAATTCATCCTTGAGCGCACTAAGAAACCACCCCTTAGGCCCTGCGGATGCCCTCTTTTGGTCCCATAGGACGTGGCGAGGAGTTAGTTCCACCGAAGTAATTACCTGCAGCTACGGAAACTTTGTTTCTACCGGTCTTGAATATCTCTAATGGAAGTACTTCTATGTTATAAACTCATGTTTATTATGTCAGAATGCTGTACAAGCTGAGGAGGATTATGTTGAAAAGGTAAAAGAGCATCATAATGTGTACCGGTATAATAAACACAAAGTCCTATTTTGTTTCTATCTGACTCATATCCAAGGTATATTAAATGACCGCCTGCTGTTTTCTTTTTAAATCGATCGATTAATTCCTTCAGACTAATATTTGATGAAATAAAATGCATGTTATTTCGATTTGGATCTGAGTTAAACTTTATATATGAATATATAGGACGAGAAAGTGCTATAGATTGAGCTTGAATTTGTACTTCTCCTCCCCATACTTTATGTGTAGCAGTTCTTTCTAACTGTACTTCAAAGGAATTTCCCAGTATGTTACAAAGTGTTTGTAAATAATCTTTATTTTGGATCATTGCATTAATTGCCAACATTTAATATCGAAACAGAACTATATAAACAATTTCCATCGGCAGCCGTCCGTGTTAGAGCATAAACTGAATCGAATGTGTGAACAGAATATTCTGCTCTTGTTTCTAACCGCACGGATTTATCTTTATTTGTCATAGTAGTAAACGGTGATTTTTCAATTAAATCAGTGATTATTCCAGCTTGACTTGAAATTTGGTTAGCGTCGATAATATTATCAAAACCAAATGGAAAAAGAAAACGATCCAGAGTTTTCCTTGAATTAGAATCAACGATTTCAAATATCTCTGAAGAAGAGTTTTCTTCAATTTCCATCATATTAGATGGCTCATTAACGCTGAGATCTTCTAATCGTAAAGACATATCTAAGTCGATATGTTCGTTTTCATCGGCTATTTCATGATGATCGAAAGTCAACTTTTCATCAACTTCCATCGCATCAGATTGGTTATCATTTATACCATCATCAATATCAAAAGACATATTTGTACAAGTGTCTTCGATTTTGTTAGGATGAACCTTAGTCAAAACATTGTGTTTTCTCATCCATATTGGTTTATGAAAACTTGTTAAACTTTCAAAATAATCAGATGTCTAGTCGATCTGTGTTTTAGCATTAGTCGAACTTTTATTCAATTTATTAATTAAAGTGAGTCCGAATGATTCCATATATCTGATCAACTTATGATTAGTTTTGGTCTTCAAGTCTATATTGAAATCACCAACAACAATTATACTCTGAGAAACTCGTTTAGAAATGAGAATAACTTCGTCAATATGTCGTTTTAGGACATTGAATGATGAATTTGGTGAATTATAAACAGAAACTATACAAATATCACCAACTTTTATTGACAAATACGGTTTTCGTATATCATGACAATCATGTCTGTGAACTATCTTAAAACCTTCGATTTCTAAATTGTCACTAGATTTTGTCCATGTTTCAACAAGACTTGTTACAGAAGAAGACGAAAACGTTTTGTCAGATTTGACATCTAAAAAATGCTTATTCAATGATTGCACATTATGAAACATAATCAAGAATTTGTTCTCTTCAGATTC